GTTCTGCAGGGTCTCCTTTGTTGCACATGGTGTGAATAGTGCTTAAGAATCTGGCTACAACTCACTTCTCTCCAGATGAAGAAAAGTCATTCACAGGTCCCAAATCTGCCCTATCAGGTGTCACATAACATGGTGGGGTGTCAATTCTTCCACGCATGTGCATGTGTGTTTGTGCGATTATGGAGAGAATATTGGTTGGCGAAAGCAGCACAGTATTAATGTTTAGGGTAGGATGCAGCCTCTTATGAATCCATAGTCAAGTCTAGGAAAATGAACAAAATTTGGGAGCTTGAGACCTGGTACATTAAATCCTCAAAAGGTTTGGAACAAAATAAACATCTAAAAATCTAGCTTTGGCATGTAAGTTGCCCACAAGAGTGAAATAGTTTTAAGCTGGTTAACAGCAGGAAGTTTCGTTTCAGAACTGAAATCTCATATCAAATCAAATTTTTGCCAGGATCTATACTCTCTGTGAGAGCAATTTTAAAATGAGCTACGTAGGGGTTTGAAATTGAGTGGACTGTTCAGGACTGGATTTTTAAGGTAGCTCTGAAGTAGAAAAGTAGTTAGTTCACAGAATGAGAACATGATTAGTGGCTGAGTTGGAGTGGAGGCCCTGCCAAGGCCACCATCTTGTTACAAACATGCCATGTTGAAAATTAGCAAAAACCTAGCAATAATTCAGTTCAAGCCCCCTTTCCTCTCCCTTGTTACTAATGGGGGAACCTGAAGGGACTGCTGTAATGGATTACATAGCCAGACAGCAACAGAGACATTCATGGCAATACAGAAGAGACCTATAACAAAGACAAAGCTGGGAGTAAACTTCAAGTCTCCCAGTTCTATACTCTTCATTACACTGAACTAGGGAAACTAAGGCCTAGAGATAGGAAAGGACTGCAGGTTCACACAGTTCATCAATGACAGAGCAGGTAACTGACTTTGAGTCCAGACCAAACCCCTCATTTTACAGATGAGGAAAACTAACCCAAGCAGGCAATGAGTTGCCCACTTCATTCAACAACTACCTAGTGATATCATTTCCATAAGTGTCAGCAGGAACAGCTCCAAGCAAAAATAAAATCTGATGAGCCAAGTCTGACTTTTAGTATACCCCATCTTTTCATGATTACTCTTATTTCCAACTGACATACTTTTGGTATTGTCTCTTCCCAAGCATTCCAGACCTTCATGCAGCCTTGGCCTTGGAAAGCTGGTCCCACCTATTGCCCTTTCACTCCCCAGAAACCCAAGAGGCACAAATAAAGTCCATCTCCCTATGACCACACACTGGGCAAAGGAGAAGTAAAGAAAGGGGACTAATTTCCTTTAGGAGAGGCTGGTTTACCACCCAGCTCTTGGCTATTGTCTGGTTCTCTCCTGACGCAATGCAGACATCCTCAGGATGCCAGCCTCCTCATCTCCTCTCACTGAGACTAATTAGTGTGTCCTGATGCGTGGCCCCAGGCTCTCTCACCCAAAGTCGCCTGCCCCTCAGTCCCTCCCCCAGTAGCCCTAGGGCCCCAATCTGTGTTTGATCACTCTAGATCATTAGATTTCAAAGCTGTGGAATCCCATAATTTTTATGAGCATATGTTTTCCTCCAGGGCCTTTTCATGCCTAAAGAGGCAGCCAGCAGCTCCCTGCCACATCACAGAAGCAGAGCAGCTGACAGGGGTTACAAGTTCCCCCAGCAAATCTCTGCTGTCTAACAGCTAGTACCTAGATAGGGTAGGTGCTGATTTGAACCACAGGGGGAAAAAAGTTCTGAAATTCTAATAAGTTGAAGAGGAGACTCCAGAGGTTTTTAGATCCCTGCCTTTCTGCTCTCCCTAGTGGTCTGCAAAGGAAGAGTTGCATGCCTGGTTTTAAAATGGTTTCAGCAATATTTTCTAGGGACCTGCTTTATGTCATTCACTCTGCTAGAACCCGTGGATTTCAGGAATGATAGGAACATAGGTGAAGAAAACAAAGAACAAGCACAAGGAGGAATTTATACTATAATTTTACCAAGACACTTTTTCCTCTTCCGGACCCTGGTGGCCCTGAGCATACTGATCTCAGCCCCTTTGGAACAAGAAGGGGCCACCGCACCCCTTCCAGACCGAGGCCACCACGTTTCCCCTCCCCACCACTCCACGACTGGCCTCCTTGTCGCCAGAGCGTCTCGGTAGAACTAAGCACTCCTCAACCTTGTTCTTGCTGAGCCCAAGAGGGATAAAATTAGCCCACTGATTACATCTAACAAATGTAGAGCCCGGGTCCATCCCGGGAAGGGAAAGTCAGAGCTGAAACCAGCTGAGCTCCTGTCCCCCACTTCCCGCTCTCCCCAGGTCCTGCCATAGACTGTGGTCCCGCCCCAGGGATGGGGCCTAGAGACTCGCCAGACAACAGCAACTCTTCTTTCCACTGCACACCCACCCTACACTGCCCTCACGACTGGGCCTCGGTATCCAAGGATGAGGGTGCTAATGGGTACCATTATCCAACAGGCACCTATGCCCACTACACACTCAGGGAATGCCTGGGGATGGGGGTTGGTGGATGGGGCGGTAAACAGGGCCCTGGCTGCTGCCCTCCACCCCGAGTCCTGCTACTGGCCCCAGGTCACCTTGGGCAGAGAGAGTGCCGGTTCTAGCCCCTCCATGGCCTTCCATCCATTTCCTTGCCTGGGAGGGGTAAGAACCTGGGATACGGGCTGCCGAGATGCCTCTGCCCTTGCTGCTCAGACTGGAATCAGGCCCGCCCAGGACAACCACTTTTTCTGCTGAGGGGAAGGGGGCAGGAGGGCGTGAGGGCCCAGCCTGGGCGCACCCAGCTGTCCATCCTACTGTCCGCGGAGTCAGATGGACAGACAGCAGCTGCTCTGTGTCCCAGGCTCAGCTGCTCCTCGATCCCCCGCCCCCACTGCCCCGCATGTGCCACTACCACCAGGAACTGCAACTTCGCTGCCCCTGCCCAGCGCTGGGTCCAGAGCCCTCGGGGGGATCTGGCTGGACCAGTGGGAAACCCGCGGCCCCCTTCCAGATTTGGCCCCAACACCCCAAGGGCGCTGTTGGGCAGCAGCTAGTGGAGATCTTAAGTGATTCCAGGCAGGAGGCCCGCGGAATGAGGGGTCTGGGAGCGGGAATGGCCTCCAGGAAACGCTTGGGTCAAAGCAGCCAACATCCTCCACCCTCCTCTCCAGTCTCCAACCCTGGGTTGGGCCTGTGGGACCACCTCCTCCAGGCAGCTCAGCACAGTGGAGCTGCTCCTGCCTAAGCATTGGACCCCTCATCCACCTTCCTCCACCCCACCCAACCCCAGTCCCATAAAAGCAGTCCCAGAACTCCAGAGGACAACCATGCTGGTGGGAGCTCCCAGCTCAGGCCCAC